TCTCTCTCTCTCTCTCTCTCTCTCTCTCTCTCTCTCTCTCTCTCTCTCTCTCTCTCTCTCTGTCTCTCTCCCTCCCTCTCTCTTTCTCCTTCCCTCCCTCTCTCCCCTTCCCTCCCTACCTCTTCTTCCCTCTTTCTCCTTCCCTCCCTCTCTCTCCTCTCTCCCTACCCCACCTTATATTCATCTCTCACTTCTCAACCTCCCCATCTACCATCCAGTCTACCTCTACTTATAACAATCCCATCTTTTTAGTGTTTATCATTTCATTTATTTTCAACTATCTTTTTAATATATAATAATTCTTTTTTTTATCTTTTTAATCTCTATTTTTTTCATTATCACCAGACCGCACCGATATCACGACTGCAGTGAACTTAGCACTGAAAGCATACCTAACCACAGTCACTGATCCCGTGGCGCTGAATCAACACATCGAATACAAGATCGAAGCGCCTCTCGTTGCAGAGTAAGAAAGGGGAAAAAACGAAGGGAAATGGATAATGATGGTGTTATTTAGTGATAGTGAAAATGTTGATAGCGATGATGGTGTTATTTAGTGATAGTGAAAATGTTGATAGCGATGATGGTGTTATTTAGTGATAGTGAAAATGTTGATTGCGAATTATTATGAAATTAGTAATTATAATGAAAGGGGAAATTATAAATTAGTAATTATAATGAAAGGGGAAAAAACGAAGGGAAATGGATAATGATGGTGTTATTTAGTGATAGTGAAAATGTTGATAACGATGATGGGTGTATTTAGTGATAGTGGAAATGGTGATGGTAATGATTAATATAATTAGTGATAGTGGAAATAGTGATAAAGATGATGTATATATTTAGTGATAATGGAAACAGTGATAATGATAATAGATATATTGATGATGGTGGAAATAAAGATGATAATGGTGATAAATAACAACAATATTGATTAATACTAACACCAATAATAACTCTATAACCACTACCATATATTAATACACATAGATAGGTCCACAAGCACTTAGTCACTAATGAGGCAATTACAACTACTACCTGTCTCACCTGTTTACCCCTTTCCTTGATTTTCGGAAATATTTTCATTTTTATTATCATACATTTCTACTAGTATTTCTAATAATGCTATAATGAAAATAATGTCGATAATAATAACTCCATCGATATCAATACCATTAGGAAAATATATTTACTAATTTACACTTCGGTGGTTTAGCGATTGTGGAGCCATCTATGTGTAGACAATTAACAGATCATCTTTACAGTAAATGCTACACGTTCCCAGAGACTTAGGGTAATCATAAAGGCAGTGATAATAATAATAGCAATGGCAACAACTAAAACAACAACCGCAAAATAACATTAACAAAACGACAAAAGCAACATTAACAAAACAGCAACAGTATTAGTTACAACCAGCAGTGTATTTCTGACGGGACATTAATGCTAATAATAGTAATAACAAAATAACAACAATAAAACTACAACAAAACATTAACCATTAAAGCAACAACAAAAACAAGCAAAAAACAACTCCTCTAATACTAACTGTGTGGCGCAGTGGTAGCGTCTTCGTCTGGCTATCTTGCTGACCCGCGTTCGAAACCCGCACCGCCCGCCAGTAGATGACAACCCCCGGCCATTCCTTGTCCACGGGGAGTTAGTTTTAGAAGCACAATAAACAAACAAGGCACAATTTGACCGAAATAAACGAGGTCCTGTCACACCAAACCCATAAATTAATATAATTATCATTATTGTTGTTTTAATTATTATTATCATTATCATTGTTATTTTATTACTATTATCATTATTATAACTTTCTTTATTAATATTTTACTTACTATTATTATTATTATCATCGTTATTGTTATCATTATCATCACTATTACCATTATTATCATCACCATCATCATCATTATTTAGCATTCCCTAACCCGCTTTCAACCCTCAGTGTCCTCCTGACGATGGACGGGGCCACCCTCAGCGGCGTGAAGGACATTGTAGCCGAGAACTGCCTCCTGACGGGCACCGACCCTCAGGACATCGCCCTAAACTTCAGGGCGAGCGAACTAACACTCACGATGCCCACCTATACGATGAACGGCACGGTGGTTGATCATATTCCGTTGCAGGGCGAAGGGCAGGCCAGGTAAGGGGACGGGACGTGACGGGTTTTATTTTACTGTGATTTGGTTTGGTTTGGTTTTGCGTGTGTTTGTTTTTGTTTTGTTTATTTTGTTGTTGTTTTTTATTTATTTATTTATTTATTTATTTATTTTCTATACTTTGTTTATTTATCTGTTTATTCGTTTTGGTAGTTAATTAGATAGTTTAGTTGTTGTTTTTTTTATTTATGTTTTTGGTTTTGAGGTTTTGAAGGTGATTAGGTGACTCTTTTTAGTTTGTTTGTTGGGTTTATTTCAAGGTTTCAAGGGGATAAGCGAATTTTTCCTCTTTTTCTTCTTCTTCTTCTTTTAATGAGAGGCTGTTGGCTACGTGAGCATCTTTTGGCTCAGCTGGTTTCTGGGTTAAATAGGTTAGTTTAGGTTAAGGTTTAGGTTTAGGTTAGGTGTGGGTTGGCTTGGTAAGTCACATATGGGCGTGTTTATGTTTAAATATGCGCGTTTGTGTGTGTGTGTGTGTGTGTGTGTGTGTGTGTGTGTGTGCATACACTTTTATATGTACATTTCCTAGACTTTCCTGTACTTTTTATTATATACAATACCTATACTTTTGCTTAAGAATGAGGCATCTTTTTCGCAAACTACTTTTTGAAGATCATATATTTTTGATATCATATGTAGAATTTGGCGATATAATACTATCTCTCTGTATTCCAAAACGTTTAAGGAAATTGAGAAAACTATATGCACATATAAACAAATAAACGCGCATACACATACACACACTCCCACCAACCCACCCTAACATACACACACACACAATCCACACACACACACACACACACACACACACACACACACACACACACACACACACACACACACACACACACACACACACAATCCACACACAATCCACACACAATCTACACACACACACAATCCACACAACCCTTAACCATTTTCCTTTTTCATTTCATATCCAAAAGCATCGTGATCGAGGACCTAGTAGCCAGTCTCGTCGGCAAAGGAACTGCTACTGTGTCTCCCTTCAACGTCCAGTTCACCGAAATTGCTTTGGATCTTGAACTTTTCCGATGGACGGTGCGTATTCTGGTGTTCCTTTTTTCCTTGTTGGTTGCGTGTGTGAGGAATTGCATGTGCAAGGGGAGGGGGCGTGAGTCTGCGCAAGGAAGAGAGAGAGAGAGAGAGAGAGAGAGAGAGAGAGAGAGAGAGAGAGAGAGAGAGAGAGAGAGAGAGATTGAGAGAGAGAGAGAAAGAGAGACAAACAGACAGACAGACAAAGAGAGACATAGACATATCCACACACACACAAACACACACACAGACAAACAAAACAAAACAGACAAAACAAAACAGAACAGCGTAAGCACCCATTCCCTTCTCGCCAATAACCCTTGCCCTCCATACAGGTGGATTTCCAGGACCTCGCGCCTGGCACTGATCTTGGCACTGTCTTCAACCAGTTCTTCAGCATGTGTGGCCCCGAGATCTTTGACCTTCTCGAAATCAGGCTGAACGAGGGAGACGGCCTTCTGAATTTCATCAATGGAATCTTCAAGCCTTAGATGGTTTGAAAGAGAAAAAAAAGAAAAAAGAAATTGAATCTTCAAATTTTAGATGATAATAAAAAAAGAAAAATAAATTGAATCTTCAGACCTTAGATAATCAAAAGGAAAAAATCTAATCTTCAAACCTTAGATAATAATTATATAAAATTGAAATTTCAAACCTTAGATGATGAAAAAAGATAAAAAAATCAATCTTCAAAACTTAGACAATAAAAAAGGAAAAAAAAGGAAATTTCAAACCTTAGATGACGAAAGAAAGAAAAATAAAATTTTAGTGATTAATTTCCAGAATTGGATCAGATTTTTAGAATACATGAAGTTGATTTAAGGCGATGGAGTTTTGTTTAATCCATTGGTGACTGGAAGAATGTTTGTTGTTAATGAGGAATGTTGTTATGTTTTTGTCACTGTGTTTGCGTGAATGTGAATGTGTATGTATAACTGCATAAGTGGGTGTTTATGTGTTTGTGACTGTGTGTGTGTGTGTGTGTGTGTGTGTGTGTGTGTGTGTGTGTGTGTGTGTGTGTGTGTGTGTACGCGTCAGTGTGCCTGTATCCATGTGTAGATGTAGTTGTGTGCGGATGTAACTATGTGTATGTAATAACCATAATAATAATGGTGATGATTATGAAAATAGTAGTAATAATAATAATATTGATAACAGTGACAATGACAATGATAATAATGACAATGATATCAACAAAACAACAACAAAGACATCAATAATAGTAGTACTAAAAATGATAATGATAATAATAATAGTAATAATAATAATAATAATAATAATAATAATAATAATAATAATAATAATAACAATAATAATAATAATAATAATAATAATAATAATAATAATAATAATAATAATAATAATAATAATAATAATAATAATAATAATAATAATAATAATAATAATATTGATAACAATGACAATGATAATAATGACAATAACATCAACAAAACAACAACAAAGACATCAATAATAGTAGTAGTAAAAATAATAATGATAATAATAATAATAATAATAATAATAATAATAATATTGATAACAATGACAATGATAATAATGACAATAACATCAACAAAACAACAACAAAGACATCAATAATAGTAGTAGTAAAAATAATAATGATAATAGTAATAATAATAATATTGATAACAATGACAATGATAATAATGACAATAACATCAACAAAACAACAACAAAGACATCAATAATAGTAGTAGTAAAAATAATAATGATAATAATAATAATAATAATAATAATAATAATAATAATAATAATAATAATAATAATAATAATAATAATAATAATAATAATAATAATAATAATAATAATAATAATAATAATAATAATAATAATAATAATAATAATAATAATAATAATAATAATAATATAATAATAATGGTGATAATGTCTTTTTTTTGTTTTTTTTTTTAATCATTTCACATTTTACGTTATTTTATTTCCATGACTTGAATTTTGGATTATGCTTATTGTTCATGTGTAATATACTTCATAATATATACACGCACGCAAAATACATAAGCATCGACACATATGAAGAAATACATATATCAACATGGCTGACCTAGATTTCATAAAACCCAAAATTACGACTTTTTTTAAGCATCAAATTATCTCGTACCAATAACTCCCAACTTTTTATTCCACCACGTAATAAGTCAATTTACCTTATTAACCAGGTGTTAAAGCTCACCGAAGAAGATTTATGCCAAAGTAACATTAAATGATCAAGGTCACCTAGTTTCTATGTCAAGAGCCCACGCAAAAAAAAAAAAAAAAAAAAAAAAAAAAAAAAAAAGTCAGATTTATTTAAAAGGAAGAGATTAAAACTTGGCTGCCACACTATCGTCATTTACTTCCCCAAGAGAAGTGTCGTGTTACGGTTGACAGAACCTGAACCACTACGAGAGATGGGGTGCCCTCACGTCGTTGTAACTGCCTCGTTACTATTACTCTCCGTGACTGCTGTTAGTGCTTCGCGAAACAAGGTATGTTACGTGTCGGTGGAATAGGGTTGTTAGTGATATAAACAAAGAAAAAAAATATATGATTGTTTTTGTAATGGGTTGTGGGTACCTCTTTCCTTATGGATTAGTTAGTTTATTTTTGAGATGTTTTGGAAGTTGTTTTTTTTTTAATATACATGTATATCTGCCTGGAGGTAGATTTACTTAAACGTATTTTATTTTATCTATTCATAAAAAAAAAAAAAAAAAAAAATGTGATAAAAAGGCTGTACGTATTGTACGCAAGAGTGTTAATACCAAATCCAGGATCCACATTTAATCCGCATCAATTAGTGGTAACAAACCGTAAACATTAGCAGTTAGTGGTCGCTAAGCAATCATTAACAATTTGAAAACCGTTCGTTAATTTTCTATTAACGCGAACCCATGTTTTTTCTTTCTTTCTTTCGTTTTGAGGAAGACTGTGGCAAAATTAGGTAAATAAATCTCTCTTTTTTTTCTTCTTTTTCCAGCAGGCCGTTGTCGAGTACGATAACGGAAATATTGGTCAGTACAATGAGACCGTTATTCTCAGAGGCAAGGTGAGTCTGGGTGGATTCTGTGGTTGAAGTGAGTCAGTGAAAATTGGTTTGTGAAATTTTGAAATAAATTTGGGTTAACATGTGGTTTTGCTATTGGTTTTGTTTTCTTTATATCTGTAAGTTATATGGTGATAGGTGTGTATACAATGTGTTTTCTTTATTTCATATATTTAAAATGATGTTTAAAAACACATCTGCACGCTCGTGGACATACTTAAGTACATATACATACAGATTCGTGTATCACACACACACACACACACACACACACACACACACACACACACACACACACACACACACACACACACACACACACACACACACACACACACACAAACCAACAAACAAACAAACAAACACAAAGAAACAAGCAAAAAACGCATTAAGTTTTAACTTCCCTCGTCTCCCTTCAACATATAAAGTCATCAACTATAATCTAGATTCATTAGTGTGATAATGCAACAGATTTATAGTGGTAGTGAACCTTTAATAAGATTTTATTTTCTCGGACGCAGGTAGTTCAGCGCAACAACCATTTTTCGAAATGTTTAGAGGATTTTAAGAAAGTAAGTTGAAACTGTGTTATGTTTTTGGGGCAAATGTATTTTTTTTTCTTTTTTTTTTACTGTTTTTATTGTTTGTTGTTGTCGTCTTGTATTTCTTATTAATTATATATTTTTTTTTCTTTTTGTGCCGTTTGTTTTTATTTCTTTTTTTTCTCCTTCATTTTTTCTTCTTCTTCTGTATTATGCAATTCATCTATTTCTTTATTTTTCCTTATTTCTTCATGAAAGTTTACCGCGATGTGTGTATATATATATATATACTTTGTTTGTTTGTTCTGATACATGTCATGTGTTTATTCTTGTTGCAGTTTTATTGGGTTATTTTTCGTGTTCATTATCTTCACTTAGTGCATTTTCAGTTTAATACAATATCAATAAATCTGATATTCTTAAGAAATTACTTTATAATTAATTGGTGCATTAAAAAAATACATTGCCTAACTATATAGCGTATTAGCATTGCAACCATTTGTTTATTTTTATTCTGTAGTGTTTTTATTTATTTTTGTTAATTTTGATTAAATATTCCTTTTCGATTAAGCATCAGATACAGTATATATTCATTCGTTTTTTTCCGTTTTGACATAGCACTAATTCATGCAGTTTTATATATGATTAATTGATTATATATCATGGTTAG